ACCTTCCAACCGCGAAGCTGGGAGATTATTCGGGCCGAGTAGATTGCCCGCAGCGCACTGTGCCGGAGCAGGTGTGGTAGGACACGGGGGCGAGATGATAAGACCAAAGTGCAGTCGGTCGGCCCCCGGGTACATGTGGTTCCTGGCAAACTCGAGATTCCTGGATAGTTGACTCGGTGATCAATATCTCACTTTAGCGGGTGAGTGAGGTTTGTGTAAGGAATAAATCACCAGCTGGTTAGGAATCGATTCGAATCGCCATCGCTCCTGGATAGTGAGCACTTAACTTGAGTTACTGCATCGTAGTAATTATTATGGAACAATGATGGTTATCTGGATGGTATGGGATATACTAAATCTAAATTGGTAACTGGATGTTATTGGTTAATCAAGTGATTGCTATAGTACAGGTGCTTACCTAGATGGATAGGCCATAATAAAGATGATGCAAAGTACTTAAAATGGTTTCTTCATGATAGCTTATGCTTTTCGCAAACAAGTCAGCTAGCCCACTAAAGAAAGCCTTGCATGATCCTTGGTGTCATTTGTTTTGGTTTCCGACGGGTAAGTCTGGCTGAGTACATTCGAGTACTCAGGGTTTATCCCACCTTGTTGCAGGTGATGTTCTCGACCTGTTGATGATGGTGGCTAACCACCGGTGGGCTCGGTGATTCTATACTTACTTCTCATCTATATGCTTTTGTCGGATGATGTCACTATGCTAGCAATATATTTGGAACTTATATTAATGTAATCCTTTGAAAGCTATGTTGTTTTCACTAAGCGGTTTTGAAACCCCAAACTTGTACTACTAATTGTTAACTCCTTTGTAATATTATTTCCGCTGCAACCCGATGTATGTGATGTGTATTTGCTTAATCACGCGATCTTGGTTGTGATGTTGATTTACCGAGGTCTTTCGGGACACTCGGCGGACTACCGGGTTTATATGAGTGAAAGTATGGGTGTGTCAACGTGTTAGCGGGGACAACCGTACTTGATCTTGTATAAATTGGGCAGTTCTGTCACAACCTTTTCCCGGCAGAGCGCCAAAAGGTACTCTAGTAAATTGCTTGTGGCTTGTGTGATCCTCATCTTGTGTTGGTTGTGCGGCACCCTATTGAGGGTTTGGCGAGTGATGCCAATCAGCGCGTGAACCTCCAAGTGAGTGAATCGCCACAACGAGAACTAGCTTGCCGGCAAGCAATTGAACCTCGGTAAAAATCATTGTGTTCATCATTTGATTCCGAGGTGATTGGTCTACATTGGTATTCATTATTGTGATTGATTGGTTCCTACCACTACACGGCGGTATAACTCTCTTGCTCACTCTTACATTACCGCAAACTATTTATCAAGCTCTTTAGTGTAGCTAGTTGTGAGAGCTTGTTTGTTTGATTAGTGTTGCTCTTTAGTTAGTCTTTGAGAGCACACTAATTTAGCTAAGTGTCATAGCTATTGTGTGGACATACACTATTCAAAATAGAATTGAGGTAGGTGGCTTGCATTTTAGTAGGCTAGCGCAACACTCGCTTTGCCGCAAAATTGTCTAACACATTTTGTTAAGTGTTGTTGTAGAATTTTATTAGGCTATTCACCCCCTCTAGCCATTAGGACCTTTCACATGCGCGTATCAAGACCCCAGACGTGCTGCCCAAAATCAGCAACCTGATCCGAATAGCATGGAGCAGCTTGATAGCATACCGATGAGACGTAGCAAGATCTGACCACCAAGGGAGCATCAAGGAGTCCCCGGCATCGCTGGCGATGTCCGAGCATCGAGGAGCGAGAGTCCCCGGCGTCGCTGGTGATGTCCAAGCACCGAAGAGCGAGAGTCCCTGGCGTCGCTGGCGATGTTCGAGGACCGAGGAGCGAAAGTCCCCGACGTCGCTGGCGATGTCCGAGCATCGAGGAGGGAGGAGTCCCCGACGTCGCTGGCGATGTCTGAGCACCGAGGAGGGAGGAGTCCCCGGTGTTGCTGGCGATGTCCGAGCACCGAAGAGCGAGAGTCCCCGGCGTTGCTGACGATGTCCGAGCGCCGAGGAGCGGAAGTCCTCGGCGTCGCTGGCGATGTTCGAGCACCGAGGAGCGAGGAGTCCCCGGCGTCGCGGGCGATGTCCGAGCTCCGAGGAGCGAGGAGTCCCCGGCGTCGCTGGCGATGTCCGAGCACCGAGGAGCGAGAGTCCTCGGCGTTGCTGGCGATGTCCGAGCACCAAGGAGCGAGGAGTCCCCGATGTGGCTGGCGATGTCCGAGCACCGAAGAGCGAGAGTCCCCGACGTCGCTGGCGATGTCTGAGCACGGAGGAGCGTGAGTCCTCGGCGTCGTTGGCGATGTCCGAGCACCGAAGAACGAGGAGTCCCCGGCGGCGCTGGTGATGTCTGAGCACCAAGGAGCGAGAGTCTCTGGCGTCGCTGGCGATGTCCGAGCACCGAGGAGCGAGAGTCCCCGGCGTCGCTAGCGATGTCCGAGCACCGAGGAGCGAGGAGTCCCCGACGTCGCTGGCGATGTCCGAGCACCGAGGAGCGAGAGTCCCCGGCGTTGCTGGCGATGTCCGAGCGCCGAGGAGCGGAAGTCCCCGGCGTGGCTGGCGATGTCCGAGTATCGAGGAGTGAGGAGTCCCCGACGTCGCTGGCGATGTCCGAGCACCGAGGAGCGAGGAGTCCCCAGCGTCGCTGGCGATGTCCGAGCACCGAGGAGCGAGGAGTCCCCGGCGTCGCGGGCGATGTCCGAGTGTCGAGGAGTCTCCGGCGTCGCTGGCGATGTCCGTAAGGTGAAGTGTGCCCACTTAGTCCTCGAGCACGAAGAATCAGAGCTCCGAGGAGTCCCCGGCGTAGCTGGCGATGTCCGAGCACCGAGGAGCCCTAGGCGTAGCGGCGAATAGCCCGATTAACTGGTCTAGCGGTCCAACCAATTGATCGGTGGAGAAGTCCGAGCACCAGGTGGTCCGATCACCTGGACGATGATCTTGCAATACAAATATGGAGAACGGGTAGTACATGATGTAAAAATATATGAACTCCGGAGAAAAATCAGCAATGATGATGAAACGGCATATGTAGCTCAACGATCAGTTGGTGTGAAGATGTATTTATATTTAATATAAACCGACTGACCAGTTAGTGTGTTGCTGAGTCTCCAGCCCTAGCTAGCCCGTTAATCATAACGTCGAGCGCGGAGCCCGTGCACGTGTAGGAAGAATAGGCGTGACTAAGGAGCCGCTGCCGACCACCCATAACGCAGAGCGCGGAGCCCGTAGCACGTGTAGGGAGGAGCCGGAGACAGGGCCGTCTCTGGAGGCGTTCGAGCGTCAACGTGACTGTTCGGGGGTTTGAAAAATTGTTTGGAGAGCAAATATGGAGAAAACAGCTCGGAGAAATATTATGGCGATATACGAAGATTTGAGAATATTTAGAAAAATATTAAAGCGTGACTTAGCTTTAGACAGAAAGTCTGGTCGACGGCGTATGGCGTTATCTGGTCGGCGACGCGGGTAGCTCGCTTAGCAGCTCGCTTGACTGCTCGGATAGCTCGCTTTGGCGGCTCGATGCAGTCGGACCGGCGCGTGGAGTTGTAGTTGCAGTCGCTGCATCCGTGCGTTTGCACATGCATACAAGCCTCAATACTTAATTAGCTTGCATACGGCTGTACGGACTCAGTTTGCATTGCATGCTTTGTAGATGAACGTGAGACCGCACAGCTTTCTCCTCTGTTGATTGCGTCGGAGCCACGATGACGTTGAGGTCTTGATCTTCGAGAGTTGTTGCCACTGCTATAGATGGATTTGTACTCCTTCCCATACGTCGGCACAGTGTTGGATCTTGACGTAGTACACGCATGCATCTTCCTGTATCTGAGCGATGCATGCATGCAGATACATGTACATTCAAGAAGCCAAGTTCTAACCGGCTTGCATGCTGCTGCATGTTGTCCGATCTATTTACGTCTTCATGTTCTCGTTCTTCACGATGGATTTCCGGTTAACGGCGGGACGTCGAGTTCTGGAAACGACGGCGAACGTTGATCCTAGTGGGAACGTCGATCCTCGAGAGTCTTCTTTTGTCGCCGTTGTAGATGGATTTGATGACGGCTGCCGCGCACGATGTTGAACGCCATCGCCAATTCGTTGTAGATGTTGTTGAAGGAGGCCGTCGCAGCAAGATGAGTTGCCGCAAACGTCATTGGTCTTAAGGTACGCCATCTGGTTCGTCATGGATCAGCGCGCACACCCCCTACCTGGCGCGCCAACTGTCGACAGAATATCGTCGGCAGTCCACCGAGGGGTATCCCACGATGGTAGATTTGTCGGTGGGGGTGCGCGTAATCAGGAACCGGATGGTGACACAAGGTGCAGAGACAGCGATTTAGGCAGATTCGGGCCGTCTGATCGACGTAATATCCTACATTATGTGTCTTTGGTATATTGTATTGAATATGAGATGTATCGATCTAGATGGATCGTCTATGTATCTTGTCCGCTAGGCGACCCCTACCTCTCCTTATATACTCTGGAGGAGGTAGGGTTACAAGAAAAGTATCATATTTGGTACTATACAATGTCTTACGGTGCACGTCGAGCAGCGCCGTGCATGCCTTGATCTTGTGGGCTGGGCCACCTTTGATGGTGCGGCCCGTGTCTTGTCTTGAGGATACTGGGGGCCATACCCCCACATAGGGTTAAGGAAGAGCCCCACCGCAGCGTATGGGGGAATAGGGCACCGTCGCCTAGACCGCTCGAAGGCGGCGCACTCAGCCTAGGGCGAGCGCGCCCTCGTTTTCCCGGCGCGGCGTAGAGAGAGAAACGAGGGGGGGGGGAGGAAATGAGGTTTAGGGTTCGGGGCAGCGGCGCAGCGCGTAGTTTTGTTCGTCCAAACAGCGCAGACGACCGTCGGATCGGATCCGACGGCTCACGGCGGCCGGGCCACTTTAGGCCCAGCGCGGGACGAAGAAATGCTGGCCTAGGCCCAGGTTGCGGCCTGGGCGCGGACGCATTATAGAGTATTCAAAGTGGCATCACCATATGCCCAGGAGACGACGATCCTGCAGGAAACATGAACACAGACGCGACCCTGCGACGAGGCACGTCGAGGCTAACCTCGTAGCACCCCGTGGCTGCCCACTCCTTCTCCTTGCGCTTGAACTCCAAGTCATGTACGCAGACGTGCGCCACGCCAGGTCGCGCCCTGCTAACGACGGGCCAGCGCACGACCCGCCGCAGCAACCTGCGCTTGTTGCCGCCGCCGCCGTCCACCGGAATCGCGTTGTCCAGGAGGTCGGCGATGCACAGGGAGGAGCACGACGCGTCCTTGTCCTTCTCCCACCTCCAGCTATCTTCTGTCAGCGGGAACTTGAGAGACCATGTCGTGAGCGCCAACGTGACCTCCTCGCCGCCGTCGTCCATGCACGCACAAAAGTTTGATGGTCTCGGAGTCCACGCAGCACACGGAACGGTACTCCGTCGCACCAAAAGATGAAGGAGCACATGCACATCCCTCGGGCAACGGGATGAATCTAAACACCAAGCCGTCGTCGTCGTCGTCGTAGGCGGCGGCGGCGGCGGCGTCCGTGCTGCTGCTGCTGATGTTGTTGCAGACCAAGATCCCTTCCCACAGGTCTACCCAGCAAAGGGAGGTGCTTGAGATGGCGAACACCGTCCCAGCATTGAAATTGAAGCAGTACTCGTCTTCATCAGGATCCGGGAGCGGGAGCACCACCTCCTTCCGTATCCACTAGTCGGCACCGGCACGCGGGCCGCCGCCGGAGCCGGAGCCGGGCGAGCACCACGTGAACAGGGTGGCCTTGTTCGTTGGGAAGTCGTCCCGATCAGTATGACGGTATAGCTCGGCGAGAAGGTAGCCGCCGTCGTCGTCGTCGTGCGCGTCGGTGCGTAGGACGGCGACCCCGGCCGACCCGATGGGGTAGCAGTGCGAGCTGACGACCCTGACTGCGGCGTGCTCCGGCGGGACGGCGGCGACCGACTTGGCGCGGGTATTGAGCACCAGGTAACACCCTGGCAGGTGGCGCCAGTCATCATGGTAGCAGTTGCCCAGGCAGAGCGCGAGGAGGTTCTCGTGAGCGCTCGCGATGAAGCCCGTGGCGGCGCAATGCCTGGGCGGCCAAGACACCCAAAGCGTCAGGGAGTTCACGGCGGGCACGGCGGCGAGCTGCTGAGCAAGGATAGGGTCAACGCCGTCCAGCAGCCTGCGGTAGTAGCCGATGTTCTCGAAGCCTGCGAGTGCGAAGGTCACCGGCTCCCTGCGCCACACGCTGGCGGTGGTGCGGGAGGCCTTGCGCTCCCGCAGCATCTGGTACCGCGTCTGGCCTCCTGTCTCTTCGATGATCTCTTCTACTTCGTCGATGAAATTCACGCAGCGGTCGAACAAGACGTCCATGGCTGCTGCGGCCGGAGTTGCGCGCGAGATCGATCTGAATTCTGAACCAGACAGCGGCAACTCGATCGATGCTCTCCACCTAGATTTACAATCGTAATATATGGAGTAGTTTGCTATTTTGGAATCATGATCAGTTTCGGTGTATTTACACGCGGACCTAGACAGGTAGCGATGATGGATTGGAAACCGTGGCGCGCCTGAAATCATAACCACAGCCACAGGTACATCTGCCCTGCCCAGCTGGTATTGGCGTGGGTGGGGATAAATCCATGATTCTCCTAGTCCACGCCTCAATTCATATTATCACTAGAATATAATGACCGTTCGTTGCACGGGAACATAATCCACCTGTAATTTTAGACCTAGATCCATCAGCCTTCAGGTATGTTGCAAGGCTGGCATTTTGGTTATCACTAGACCTAGAGCATACGTTCCGGTACTTACCGCACGTAAGAGCTCCCGTCACTCTTGGCCCTTCGGTCCAGAATTTGACCGAACCTCTAACACCTCCCATCTTATTCCCACTCGTTTGTAACCCCACAGCAAACTTCGAGCACCTGGACTTAGGAATAAAGTCACCGACCGACTCAAACTGGACGTAGGGCACGTTGCCTGAACCAGTATAAACCCTGTGTCATTGAGTGCTAGGCCATATCTGATCACAACGTATGACAAAACGACAAATATTTACTTGTTGGTCACTTTTCGCACCGACAGTTGGCGCCGTCCGGGGGAGAACGCCGTACGTTCACGCTTTTAATCATCGGACGGCCCACCTTTCCGCCATCTTCGGCATGGCGGGCTCAAGCGATACGACTCGCTTTGGCTCGCTGGAGTTTCCCACACTCCCACCTGTTGGGATGTGGATTCCTCCCGTCTTCGAGCTGTCCTAGACCTCCCTCTTCGAAAGCCTGGAATTCGTCGCCGACCGGCTCAGCGTGCTTCACCTCCGCGAGGAGGCACTTGTCCCTCCGACCGGCGCTGGGACACCCGATGACCTCAACGATGAGACACCTGCGCTTTGCTCCGAGCCCACGCTGGGCTTAACCCCCACTGTGAGTAATGTACATATTGTTCTTTACTCGTTATTTAATATCTTCTGCCGACTCTCCGGAGGGACCCCGTTGTCCCCACCGCAACCTCCATGCAACCGGTTCCCCTATGGCCTCGCGTCCCCCGCGGATGCGTACGCATGGGGGCTCCGAAAGATGCGGACACCGCCCGCTCTCACATCCGAGTTCGTGGGGATGGCGGGCTACGCTCCCGCCTCTTTCCACGACCTCATGGATGACGAGGTTGAAAGCGACGGCTCTAGCTTCGGCGATGTTGTGGCACCTAGCCACCCTCTGTCCCGGGAGTGCGCTATGGCGGACACTCCGAGACAGCCGCCGGTGGTAGCGGAGTCTCTACAGACTCACACCCCTCCGTACCCTTGTGATGGAGGCCCTCGCGCATGAGCAGGAGCACGGCGAGGAGCTACGACAAAGGCGGCAGAGCCAGCCGCCACCTGCGCCGACGCGCTCGGCGTAGCACGCTACGCCACGCGCGCATAACCCGGTGAGCGGCGCCCGAGGTCGCGCCCGCCTGGTCCAGCGCAACATCATTGACGGGGGGAACGATCCCCCATAGTTCTCTCGGGCTGGCCAGAACATCGCCGCTGCGGCGATGCTTCTACGCGGCCTTCCAGAGCCTGTCGACCCCCAGGAGCAGGCGATCCACCAGAACCTCCGGGCGCTTGTGGAAACCGCCGCTGTCCAACAGGCGGAGAGCTCCGTATCGTGATACCGACTCGCGGCCTCTCCCCACTAGAGGAATGGGGGCGCACCAGTCAAACCACTCCGTCCGCTCTCCACTATAGTCACCGGGCGTGGAACAGGAGGACGTAGTTGCACCACGGCCTGACCCGGCGCCCGCTCGACACCGACCACCTGTGCACGAATGGCTCAGGCCGAACCGAGACGCTCGCAGCATCATCAACAATCGGCGTCAAGCCCGGCGTGATGATGACATCCATCATGGGGCGGTGAGAGCAGGCGGCACGGGCCTCGGCTAGACCATCGAGGGGAGCGGGGAAATGCACCCTAGGCATGGTCGTCGACCAGATGACCGGAGTCCTAGCTCAAACGTCTTAGGACCATGGGCCTTTGGCCGTCGCATCTAGAAAGCGTCGTTCCCATAGCACTTCCAACCGCCCACCAACATCGCCAATTACACCGGGGAAACGAATCCCGGTATATGGCTCAAAGATTTCTGGCTCGCCTACTGAGCCAGAGGAGTGGATGATGACCACTTCATCATTCAATACCTCCCCATCTATGTGGGAGAGCATGTTCAAGCATGTCTCAAATTCCTCCCACCTGACAACATCTACGACTGGGTGGATCTCAAGAGGATCTTCATCGGGAATTTCCCAGGGACGTATGTCCTCCCTATGAATTCCTAGGACATCAAGAGCTGCCAGCAGGAGCCCAACGAATCCCTACGGGATTACATCCGTAGGTTCTCAAAATGATGCAACTCCCTTCCTGATGTCGTTGACACAGACGTCATCAGTGCGTTCCTCTCCGGGACAACCTGTGAGTCCTTGATCCACAAGCTCGGCTATCTGAAGCCCCGGACCACCTGTGACCTGGTCGATGTTGCTACGAACCACGCCTCCAGCGAGGAGACGGTCGGAGCGGTCTTTAGTGGAGGCCGAGACAAGGGCAAGGCCAAGCGCGAGGACCAAGATGAGGGCCCCTCCACACAAAGGGGCAAAAAGAACAAGAAGGATCGGCACCGACCGGCCAACTCTGCTTTGGTCGTCGTGGCCTTTCGCGTGGGCAAGCAGCCCTAGCAGGGCTAGCTCGACCACTTCGACAAGCTCATGGAGAGCCCATGCACCAACCACGCCTACCCCATCAAGCACCTCTACAAGGACTGTGAACTCCTCAAGCGCTTTCTGCGACAGGCCGGAGGACCAAAAGAAGGAAAGGGCAAGGAGGCAACGGCCAAGAAAGGAGGTGTGGTAGGCAAGGATGGGGACAGCTTTCCTGATCCTAAGGAATGCCTCATGATCTTTGGGGATCTGATGCCATCTACTCCAAGCGCCAGCACAAAGTGCGCTACAGAGAGGCATGCGTCGCCAAAATGGCCGTCCCCTCCTTAGCTGGTCAAAATCTCCGATCACTTTTGATCAGAGGGACCATCCTTCCCACGTCGCCAGACCAAGTCACTACCCGCTCATCGTCGATGCCATTGTTCGCAAGAAGCGCCTCACCAAGGTGCTGATGGACGGAGGCAACGGCCTCAACATCCTCTACGTCGACACCCTCGACGTTATACGCATCCCCCAGTCGGAGCTCTGCCCAGTGAGCTCTTCGTTCCATGGCGTGATCCTAGGGACGTAGGCATACCCGCTCGGGCATATCGACCTGCCCGTCATGTCTGGTGACCGAGCCAACTTCTGCTCAGAGGTCCTCACCTTCGAGGTGGTGGACTTCCCAGGGTCCTACCATGCCATCTTGGGGCGGCCATGCTACGCCAAGTTCATGGCGATCCCCAACTACACCTACCTCAAGCTGAAAATGTCAGGACCGAACGACGTCATCACTGTGGGTAGCACCTTTTCACACGTCTACACATGCGACCGCGAGCATTTTGAGCTCGCCACTGTCATTATCAACTGAGCCGAGCTCCCTCAGCTCAGAGAATCATCGACCCCAGCAGTCCTGGACTGCAACAAGCCATCCTCCTCGACTGCCTTCCACCCACTCGAGAAAACTAAGGCAGTGGGGATCGACCCCATCGACCCAACCAAGATGGTGCGGATCAGGACCCAGCTCCCAGCCAAATAGGAATACGAGCTTGACGACTTTCTATGCGCCAATCACAATGTCTTCACATGGAAACCTTCTGACATGCTAGGCATACAATGGGAGGTCACCAAGCACGCATTATGCCTCATCTCAGGCTCAAAGCTCGCCAAACAACGCCTGCGTCGCTTTGACGATGAGAGGTGCAGGGCCATAGGCGAGGAGGTCGCCAAACTCCTGGTAGCTGGATTCATCAAGGAGGTATACCACTCCGACTGTCTTGCTAATCCCGTTCTTGTTAAAAAGAACACCGAGAAATGGAGAATATGAGTTGATTATACTGGCCTCAACAAGGCATGTCCGAAGGACCATTTTCCTTTGCCACGCATAGACCAGATAGTTGATTCCACCTCAGGATGCGAAATCCTCTCCTTTCTGGATGCCTACTCAGGCTACCACCAGACCACGATGAAAGAGTTCGACCAACTCACAACTTCATTCATCACCTCGTATGGTTTGTACTGCTATGTAACCATACCTTTCGGTCTGAAGAACGCTGGTGCCACCTATCAACGGTGCATGCAGCAATGCTTTGCCGACCAAATTGACCTGCTCGACCAGCCTGACCAAGTCGAGCGGCCAAAACCAACAATCGCCGTCTATGTTGATGACATAGTGGTCAAAACGGCTCATGCTTATGACCCGATCGCGAACTTGGCCGCAACGTTCGTGAACCTCTGAAGGTTCAACATCAAATTGAATCCCAAAAAATATGTTTTTGGGGTTCTGAAGGAGACGCTGCTTGGATACATTGTGTCCAAATGCGGTATCGAGGCCAACCCTAAAAAAATCATGGCCATCTCCAACATGGGCCCTATACGCAATGTCAAGGGCGTACAAAGGCTCACCGGCTGTTTGGCCACCCTGAGCCGGTTCATCTCCCGCTCGGCGAGCGAGGGATGCCTCTCTACAAGCTTCTCAAAAAGATGGATGCGTTCATCTAGACTGAGGAAGCACAATAGGCTTTGGAGAGCCTCAAAGCGTCACTGACGTCGGCCACAATCCTCGTCGCTCCCGAACGGGGAGAACCCCTCCTCCTCTATGTCGCGGCAAGCAACCACGTGGTGAGCGCCGCCCAATTCATCAAAAGGGAGGAGCCGAGACACCACCTTAAGGTCCAACGACCCATATACTTCATCAGGGAGG